ATGGAATAAAATAGAATATTGGGGTGCAGAACAGAATAGAACAGCAGAGTTGGAAGGGACCTTGGAGGTCGTCTAGTCCAGCCCCCCTGCTCAAGGGGATGATGGGAAGCAGAGGCCGTTCTACCCCCACATTCTACCCCCCTCCTTCCCGTTGCATTTGGAGGTCACCCCCACCTGCATGCCACATCTGGCATCTGCGGCCAGCTGTAAGGACACCCTAGGCCAGTCCTGATGTAGCCTTGCAACTGTGTGCAAGGTGAGAGTAGCTGTGTCTGTTGAGAAAGGGGGGTGTGTGTGTTTTGTTTTTGTTTTTCTTTGTCTCGGAGGCACTTGAGTGTTTTGTGATGTGGAGAGCTTGGAAAAAGTGCAGAGGAGAGCAACTAGGATGATTAAAAAGTCCCAGAGATGCAAACCTATGAAGAACGACGGTGGCAGGAATTGGGGATGGCCAATCTAGAGCAGGGGTCCCCAACCCACTGGTACTGGCACCAGTCCGTGGCATGTTACCAACGAGTCCACGCAAATAAGCCAACCCCCGTGGGATGCAGGCAGCATGCAAAACCGCCTCTCCTTGTGGACCCAACCTCCCAGTCTGTGGAAAAACTTTTCTCCATGGAACCAGTTCCTGGTGCCCAAAAGGTTGAGGGCCACTGCTCTGGAGAAAAGAAGGACCAGGGGAGACATGAGAGCAGTCTTCCAATATTTGAGGAGCTGCTCCAAATCGGGAGGGTGTGTGTGTCAAATAATTCTCCAAAGCACCAGAAGACAAGAAGCAATGGATGGAAATCAATGAAGGAGAGAAGCAACCTGGAATTAAGGAGAAATTTCCAAACAGGACAATTAACCAGTGGAACTGCTTGCCACCAGACATTGTAGATGCTCCAACACTGGAAGTTTTTAAGAAGAGATCGGACAACCGCTTGTCTGGATTGGTATAGGTTCTCCTGCATGAGCAGGAGGCTGGACTAGAGGACCTCTGGGGTCCCTTCCAGCTCTATTTTGATTGATTGATGAAACAGGTAGTCCTCGACTTAACCACCACAATGGAGCCCCAAATTTCTGTTGTTAAATGGGACATTTGTTAAGTGAGTTCCATTTTAAGACCTCTCTTGCCACACAAAGTCAATCCCCTACAGTGGATTATTGAGCAGCCTGGTCGTTAAGTGGATCTGGCTTCCCCAAGGTGACCTCGGGACGGAGCAAAGGTCCTAAACATGAACCTGTGGCCAAGCGTCTGAAGTTTGATCATGTGAACCACGGGGGAAGCTGCGATGGTCGTAGCAGTAGGAAACGGTCCTTAAGTCGCCTTTTTCAGTGCCATCGTAACATTGGAACGGTCACTACACTGTGGTTAAGTCGAGGACTTCCTGTCGTCGGACCATGCTGACTTGCTGCCGCGGTTGTCGTTGTTGGGTGAGCCCCGTGTGGTTGCAGCCGCCCAGACTCGTGCGATTGCCGTTTGCGATCTCCTGCTGGCTTCCCCATTGTTCCTTGGGGGACAGGTTGTCATGGCAAGCTGGTTGCCAAGCCCATATTGCTGGGGAACGCTACAACGGCCGCAACTACAAGTCGTTCCCCGTTCAGTGCTGTATACCTTCAAAGGATCACTAAAGAAGGGGTCCTCACACAAGGACAGCCTGTAGAGCAAAGATGGGGAGCCGGCGACTTATAGGTAGACATATAATCTCTATATAATTGCAAGTTGTGCCAATTGGGTCAGCTGCAAATAATAGCTTGTAAGCAGCCCCGACTCCACCTATAGTAAGAAATCAGGTTAGCGTATTGCAGGAACCTTAGAAGTTAGGATAACGGAGTTGGAAGGGACCTTGCAGGTCATCTAGTCCAACCCGCTGCTGAAGGAGGAAACCCTCTACCATTTCAGACAAGTGGTTGTCCAGTCTCTTCTTGAAAAGCTCCAGTGGTGAAGCAACCACAACAACTGGTGGCAAGCTGTTCCACCGGTCGATTGCTTTCACTGTCAGAAAATTTCTCCTTATTTCTAGGTTGAATCTCTTCCTTGATCAGGTTCCGTCCATTGCTTCCTTGTCTAGCCTTCACGTCCTTTGGAGAAGAGGTTAGCAGAATAACAGAATAAAGGAAGGGACCTTGGAGGTCTTCTAGTCCAACCCCGTCCTCAAGCAGGAGAGCCTACACCATTTCTGACAGGTGGCTGTCCAGTCTCTTCTTGAAAGCCTCCAGGGATGAAGCTCCCACAACTTCTGATGACAAACAGTTCCATTGGTTAACTAATCCTCAGTGTTAGGAAGTTATTTCTCAATTCCAGGTGAATCTCTCCTTGTTCAGTTTCCATCCATTGTTCCTTGTGTGGCCTTCGGGTGCCTTGGAAAATAGCTTCCTCTCTGGGGCAGCCCCTCCAATATTGGAAGATGTTCTCCTGTCTCCCCTGGTCCTTCTCTTCACTGGACTAGCCAGGCCCAGTTCATTGTATGTTTTAGCCTCCAGTCACTCTCTCTTGCTCTCTTTCCCTCTCTTTCTTTCCTTCTTTCTTTCTTTCCTTCTTTCTTTCTTTCTTT